TTACGATTAACACTAAAACTATAGAAAATCCTCAACGCACAATCAAAATTGAGCCCAAGATGAGTTTTGAGTTTTGCCAGATTTTATGACATTTCTTGCCAGCCGTTGTTAACTGAATGACTGCAGTTGTTGAGTTGGTAAGGTGGTTGTTAAGTGAATTGGGCTTCCTCATTGACAGTAGGTTGTCAAGGGGGATCACCTGGGTACTTGAGAGACCGCCTGCTGCCAATCACCTCCACTAGACCGATTAGATCCCACAGATTAGGCCTCCTCCGAATTCCATCTGCCGGCCAGTGTCAACTAGTGACTACCCGGAGGAGAGCTTTCTCTGTGGCTGCTCCGACCCCTTGGAACGAACTCCCCATGGAGATTCGAACCCTCACCACCCTCCAGGCCTTCTGCAAAGCCCTTAAAACCTGGCTGTTCCAACAGGCCTGGGGCTAAAGAATTGTTGCCCCTGTCTCGAATGGTATGACTGTTGTGTGTTTTAAATTATGTATTGTTTTGTGTCGTTTAAATTTTTTGTTTGTATCCCCCTTCCCTGGTTTGAGTTGTGAGCTGCCCTGAGTCCCCTTCGGGGAAAAGGGTGGCATATAAATAAAATAAACATTCACATTCAAACAACATTCACAGCCTCAACCAGCACCCCTCTCATATCATCATAAACTTTCCTTAAAGGCTTATCCATTAATGCATTAAATAGTCAAGGCAGCTTCCCATAGCTGTTTTACCCTCTGTAAATCTTTTCTTAAGACTTTTAGAGCATTCCTTTTAATTTCATTATCATTCTCATAAATACAAATTTCTAAAACATGTTTTCCAGGATTTCCTGATTTCAGGGGATTCCTTTAATGACTGCTTTACAAAAATTCCTAAGGAATAATTGAGGACCCCAGAATTCTTCCCTTTAGTTGAGAAAAGACTAACTAAAAAACCCCATAAGATAGCTCGTAAGTAAATACCATCAGATATAATAAACCAATGTTTAAAACAATGTCAGAGACAGTCAAAGTTTTGTGTTGGCAGTTGTACATAGAAAACAAATTATATGTTAGTATACTGTAGAATCAGAGTCAACCATAATAGAGGCAAACCACATCTTTGTTCCAAATATATGACTCCTTCCTTAAAAGGCGGTTACTGTTGTTGAGAAATTACCAGGACACAAGAACCAGCACAGCTGCAAGCTTTGTGCTCCCCAATAGTGAGAATTGCAAGTGCCACAGTAGACTCCATTTCAGGGAAAAACTTCCAATCTCTCTATTTTCGGATCAGGGTGGAGAACACCTTTGCAAGTTGATTCAAAGCAGAGAAACTGGCTTCAGGGAGTTCCTTAGAGGGTGGGACGGCAAAGAAACATAGCCAAACTATGCTCCACATAAACAACTTGGCCAAGTTACAAGGCACAGTCTAAGCACTGCCTTTTTACCCAAAAATAACACCACCACTATCCAATAAATTTTGGTCTCATTTCATATTGCATGTTCCACTATAACACATCCAACCATTTTTGGTCCTAGATATAGTTATGGTATTTTGTATTTACAGCCTTCTTGGCTGCTTTCTTAAACTCAGGCACACAAACCAAATTCTTATCTTAAGCCCATTTTATTCAAGATCCTCTCCCCAAATTTAGATCTCTGCTTCCATTTCTAAAAAAACTGTTCATAATAACATCCATCCTCTGAAATGAATCCAACAGAACTATAGTAATTTATGCATTTTTAAATTAATTTCTAAATACTTTCTTCTTGTCACGTTTTCAAAATGCTGAATTAATTGGTGAAGACAGCAGACATAGAGTGTTGATATATCCCCCCCCCCCCCAATAATGCAGACATTAATGCTTCCAGCCTTCAACTTCTATACAGCAGTCCTGAATTTCAAGATTTGGGCTGCCTGAAGCAGATGCAATTTTGAGAAATCAAAGAAATCAAGAACTTCTTGTAAAGCTGTTCATTCAGACTTGTTGACATTCCATAGTGAATTAGGATAAGCAATCAAATTCTAAGTTCTGAATAAATTAGAGCCTCAAATAGATCCATCTGGCAAATACTCGGTGCTGAAATAGGAATTTCCTTACCTATATTAACAACTGAAAGGATGTTTGCCAAGCTCCTGCTTAAAATCTGGAGTAGAGATGGCTGTGAGATCACAAGATAACATCCAACATCACTAATGCATCTAGATATTAAGCAAAATGTTATTTTCTTCTTAAAAACACTCTGCTTCAATATGCATTTCTCAACTCAATTTGATGTTAAAACATTCACCACTAGTCACAGATACCTTTGGTTTTTGTCTATCCCCAGCATTCTATTCTTGCATGCTTATCTACATGGAGACGTCTCATTAAGTTCAAGAGCTTTCCTTCTAGGTTACGAATGCCTTTTAAGTTCTTGAATATATATTCCCTTTGAAATATGTTATTTTATTATGTTTATTTTAAAAACTTGGTAACTTTGCCAGCTGTTGTGACCAATATTACTACTAACATTTAGATTTTATAAACAAGGTGACTCCTTTAGGACTTAATATTTTAATTAATCCTCAAGGAATAAAGAGAAATAACAGAGCTTAATAAAACTGCATCAATATAAATGCACATTAATAAACACAAAATAGAGAAACTACCATTTATTAATATGCAGGAATCATAAATATGCAATAATTAATATCAGGAGTAATATATTATTATAAAAATTAACTTCTGTGTATTAAGAACAAAATCAAAGAATAGTAATATTTTAAACTATTTAGGCAGAATATTGAAGGAAATACAAAAAATATTTTTTCTTTATTATATTCAGTCTCTTCTATATAATATATATAATTACCATTCAACTCCTTATCAGCAGAGCTGCAGCCTAGTTAGCCTTGTTATTCTCTCTTAATGCGATAAGAACATTATGGCTGTGACTTTATCCTAAGTCATTAAAGCATACGTGAGCAAAGGTCTTAGCTATGCCAACATATTATACTGCAAAGTAGGAAAGAAACCTTTCAGGATTTCAACTATTTTTATTTTACTTAAAAACAAATATTAAAAATGATGGCTAAATCTCAACTGAGCTCATGCTAAACTGTTGCCCCATGAATTATCAGAGAAAAGATAACACACAATATCCCTTGCTAGAGTAACTATACTTTTTTGACTCGGGGACTAAGGGCGAATGATCTCCTCATGACAAGCAAATAGACATTGCATGGGAAAATACAGAAAAGATGGGCTACCTTATACACACTTGCATTATAGCATATAATATATGCTATAAAGACTCACATTTATTAGAATGTTATTAATATCATACAGATACAACTTTGATAAATATTCTGCTGACTTCAAAGTCTTGAAAATCTCAAAGAATTTGGAAAGATGACAAATAGAAAAGAACATTAAAGATATAGTTAAAAACTGATGACAGGAGAAGGCAAGAAAAAAGAAGAAGCACTTGGCAGAATGCTACCAAGGTTACCCCATAACTACTGGAAGCCTTATCAAATCTTTATTGGAAATCTTCCAGAAATAATTTTAGATATTTGCATGATTTTCTGGCAAACAGATAATGAACTTGGTATTTAAAAGATAAGTGATTGTTCAAGATGTAGAAGGCCAATCCTTTTATATTCAATTGTTAGTTTCCATTTATTCATGCATTTATTTGCTTACTAAGACTTACATCCTGCTCCAGTCAGAAATGATTCTGAGACACCAACATATCCCTCTACAGTCTACAGGCAGAGTTTAAAAACATGAAATCACAAGAATCAATCACCAAGAATCCCCAGCTAATGTGTAGTTTTGGCTACAGGTTGGATATGACAACCATTAGGTTGATGCAAGATACTGGCCAAATGATACCTATGAAAATCTGAAGTCACAACTATGTGGCTATTACCTTACCTAAATAAATATTAACTCCCCTTAGCGTACATCTGAAATAAAATGTAAAATAAAAACATGGATTATACTGATCAATGGCTACTAGGTTATATGCCTTATTCAAGTTCCTGAAACATCATTATAAGAAAGAGGGAATCCTTATTATGATCAGCAAGCATCACTTTACAAATCCAATCAGAATTCAGTGAAAGAAGGATAACCCATAAATAAGAGAAATGGAAATTTCCAATGGTTTGGAAAGCTGTGCGAAAAACTGTGAGAAAAACTAACCCAAATCATACAAAGTTCGTTTCTGTTCACAGTTTCTTAGGAAAGACAGGAAAGTCGGTTTCCTCTGCTAGTCAGCGTTTGGGTGTAGCTACCAAGTTACCTCTATACTTACACCACAATTAAAGGAAAACGAAGGTCAATCATAAAATTAATCCTCCCATCAATGAGAACAGAGAGATTTCTTGCCAGTACATTCTTCTACCTCACAAGTATGAGGAACAGCAAAAGCTGAACAGACCCATTCCCTACCTTTAAAGAAGCCACTAATTAAGATTCCCCCCCTTTGATTTAATTTGATCCACTGCCTGTAATCCGAGGGCCATGACATCTGTTCAGAATTTACACCACCGACGCTCACTTTATTTTATCCATATCCATGACTTCCTCCCTCCCACCCACCCACTTAAAAGTGTGAGAAAAAGAAACTTAAAAGTGCAGGAAAAACGACACAATCTACAACTTCCATTCAGTGGATCTCTGATTCCTGGTTCTCTCGCCTCAACCCATAGCTGCCCCAACAAGATTTGCTGGCGGGCAAATTGCACCTCATCGGATTGTGTATCCAAGCAACCCCGGCCGGGTTTTCGACATGTGCAAACACGCAGGAAGCTTGCTTGGGGCGGGGGGGGGGAGATAGGGAGGTTAGGGAAAGAGCAAAGGATGCTCGGACGCCCGGTTCCTTCTCCCGGCTTTTGGCCCCACCAAAGCCTCCTTTCGTGCCTCGAAGCCCCTCCCGCTCCCGAAGTTCTCCGTGAAACCATCCGCCTCCCTTCCCTTTTTTCTTACCCCCCGTCCGTTTCTTCTCCGGGCCCGTCCCTCAGCCGAACTACAGCCCGACACCGCCTGCCTGTCCCTCAAGAGAGGGCGGGATTTAAAACATCTCCTCTCAACCAATTGAGCAGCACATCGCTTTTTTCCTGGCTAATCACCGAGCTTGCTCTCTTGAGCCGGAACATTCCTGGGTTTTATGGCAACTTCCCTCCTCCAGCTTCTTCCCTCCCCCTTCGTCAAGGTGCTGTGAATGGAGCGGATTAAGGCGTGGAGCGCAGAGCGGGATGTACCACCTTGGAAAAGGGGGCGGCGGAAAGTACTATCTGGGAAAACCAGAGGGGGCAATGTCTCGCCCTAGGGAAACATCATCACGACGTCCAGTGTGCTTGCGTAGCTTTCCGCTGGCCAATTTGGCGGCTAAGAGCCACACAGAGCACTAATGACAAAGCAGAAGGGCGAGCCGGGGAAAACCAGGTAGCTAAAGGAGGACGCCTTGTGTGTACCTGGTCCTTATCGGGAGAGGGCTGTGGAGGAACAGGAAAGCGGCGCAAATGCAGCAATTTCATTTCACTTTCTGTAGGAGCCAGTTTGGGCCCGTGAAGCTGGTGTTTTTAGGATCTCTCATGATGCAGAACATAACATAACATAGGAAACATCACGCATTTCCCTTTTCTGTTTTTTTTTAAATTAATACATAAGCCACCTCATCTACTAGATTGTGGACAGTTTACAAAATAACGAGAAAAATAATATAAAAACACAACAAACATAAACTGTCCAGGGAAAAAACATCACTCTATATATAGAGATAGATGATTGATAGATAGATAGATAGATAGATAGATAGATAGATAGATAGATAGATAGATAGATAGATAGATGATAGATAGATGATAGATAGATAGATAAGATAGATGATAGATAGATAGATAGATAGATAGATAGATGATAGATAGATAAGATAGATGATAGATAATGTGTGTGTATACACACACGTACATATACATTTATCACCCAGTTTAACTCAAGGTCTGAGGATGATCAAATATTTATAACCAGTTTTCTACATCTGTAAGGAGTTGGCCTTGAGCAGGGCTGTTATTACTGGGCAACTTTATTGAATCAAAGAGTGGAATAAAAATGCTTTAAATGAAGATATGCATATGAGTAATGGACAGAAAGAATAACATTGAGGAACAGGAGAAAGCAGCAACCAAGACAACAATCAGATATAAGAAATCTGAGTCCTAGGCAGGAATGTACTGTACTGTAATTTGAGAAAGCACCTGGGAGATGTCTCTCCCAAGTTCATATTAAGATATTGGGAGGAGAGGGGGGGAGGAAAGTATATTCAGAGTTGCAAGTTTCTATGTTCTAATCTTTTAAAACAAAATTAGTACTATCATGTATGTCTTTGGTTTTCTACCTTGTAGAATGGACATATGTCAAGGTCTCATTTGGTACTAGATTTAGAAAGGCAAATGAAAAACTAGTGAAATCAATATACCTTTAGGCATGCATAGGTGTAGAAGGGATAGCTAATGGTGGAACAAAAAGGGAGATCAGTCTAGAATCGCTACATAGCCACAAGAGAACTAAGTCTAACTCCCCTTGAGTGCCATTGACCTTTAGCTAACTCTAGGCAGGTGTCCAGTGTGAGTTGAGAAGATTCCTATGCATAAGCTTTTAGAAATGAATTAGTTTAACTGAACCTTCATGATGGACCTGGTCAATTGCACCTGAGAATAGGATGGACTTGCAAGCATAGGAACATTGTCCTGGAAATAGGTACCTTAACAATACATAGTTTTTATGAATAGTTTCTATCCCTCCCTCAAGAATTTCAGGATATACCGTGCATATCTCAGCCTCTTTTCTTAAATTCGTATTTGATAAAACAGGTTAGGTTGAAGAGTGAAATTGATTTGACAGCAACGTTGGTTCATTTGGCTAGTTAGATGGCGTTTGTTCCAAAGTAACTACATGAGCTTTGCTCTTATTTTTATTCCATTATGGAGGTACAGATAGTTCTTGATTAACAACCATCTGTACAGCAATCCTCAAGGTGGTGACGGCACTAAATAAATGATACCTCTGGTCCTTCAAGTTGGAGTTGTTGCAGTACCACTGCACTCGTGTGATTGCAATTTGTGCACTTGACAACCAGGTTGCCAATACTTGCTGCATCCTATGGTCAGGCAGTCATCATTTGCAACTTTCTCTGCTGGCATCCTACAAGCAAAGTCAATGAGGAAGCCAGCTGGGAAGATCACAAGTCACTCCTATAAATTGCTCCTGCCATATTTTCTCCTAAAAAGCTCACTATAGAATATGAGATCACAGCACCCCTGCCTCTCTCTGCCTCACTGAGCTTACACTGCAGCACCCTTTCTCCTGCCCTGGTTTGATGCTGCAGTGTCTCCTTCACCACCTGTCTGGACTTGGGCTGCAGCATCTCCTCTTCCCTTTGTGGTTGTATGTTATGGATACTTAAAGACATTTTCTTCCATTATTGTGGGGCTTCTAAATGGAACCCATTTTTCCCATATAATACATCCTGTGCTACATAATCCAAAGCATAATAGAGCCACCTCCATTCTTAAATGTTGGCAAGGTAATTTTTATTCAAATATTTTATTTCTTTTTCTCCAAAAGTATCTTGGTGATTGCCACTTACAATTTAACTTGTTTCCTTGGTGCAAAGGATGTTGATCCAAAATGTTTCAAGCTTGATTTTTAAAATATATATACCATATTTTCGGACTATAAGATGCACTGGTGCATAAGACGCACCAAGATTTTGAAGAGGTAAGAAAAAAAAGTTTTTGCCTTCCCTCAGCTCCCAGTAGCAGGCTGCAGGCTGCAGCAGAGCTGGGAATAAGGGGAAAAAGCCTGTTTTTGCTAAAAATGCCCGATTTTTCACCCATTTTTTGCAAAAACAGGTATTTTTGCTTTGGCCCAGACCTGCTGAAGCCTGCAGAGTGCTGCTGGGGGCTAAGGCAAAGCAAAAAAAGCCTCAGTTTTTACGAAAAATGGGATGCAGGGGTGGGGCTTCGGGAGGCCAAAAATGGCTGTATTCAGTATATAAGACGCACCAACATTTCCACACACTTTTAGGGGGAATAATGGTGCGTCTTAAACTCTGAAAAATACAGTACTTTAGTTTTCTTACTATTGTCCCACAGATCGTAAGTGTATAAGCAACCATGTGCTGGGGACATGTGGATAACTATTACTCTTCAGGTAAATGTGTAAATAGGTCATTTCCAGTGATCTGTGGGCTCTGTTTCATAGATCTGACCATTTGCAGGTCTAGCACAAATGTGCTTTGATCTTTAAGTTTTCAAATAAAATAAATAAAGCAAGATTTAACATGACTACGGGAAATGTTTGGAAGCTGTTATTTCAAGCAAAGGAAATGCTTCAAAAAATCTGTTAGAGGATGTCCAAATCTTTGCATCTGCCACATTCTGCTTTTGAATCTGTAAACAATGGCATGTCAATATGTATGCATTAAAATTTGCATAAGTATGTCATGAACAATTTTGTACCATGTAAGGATTATTCCTAATTTAGTTTACTTTGAGGTCAATTGAAACTCACCATTTGATTGAGTGCCTAAATATTCATATTCAGTTGTATGTAGAAATTCATGAAAATTAGAATATCGCTAATGGGGAAAATACACATCTAGACATCTATATTGCTATAGTTCATGTAGTAGGTTACATTTTGGAATATTCCTTGCTTTTCAACTGTATAGACTTGATTTTATACCAACTTGTAGTCCTGAACGTACAACCATATATTTAGTGACTGTTCAAAGTTATAACAATATTGAAAAAATCCCTTATGATCATTTTTCACTTATGACCTTTGCAGCATCTTCATGGTCATGTGATCAAAATTTGGGGCAATTGGCATCTATTTATGACAGTTGCACTGTCCCAGGATCACATGATCACCATTTGTAATCTTCCCAGCAGACGTGACATGCAGCTAATGGGGAAATCCAAATTCGCTTAATGATCTCATGATAGTAATAGTAATTAAGACTTATATATTGCTTCATAGTGCTTTACAGTGATCTATAGTCAGTATATTGCCCCCAACAAACTGGGTCCTCATTCTACTGATCTCTGGAGAATGGAAGGCTAAGTCACTTAACAACTGCAATGATTCACTTAACTCTAGCAAAAAGGTCATAAAATGAGGCAAAACTCACTTAACTGCCTTGCTTGGCAATAGACATTTTGGGCTCAATTGTGGTCTTACGTCGAGGACTATGTATAATATTAAACCTTGATAATTAATGCCTATTGCTGCATTCATTTCCATGAGTAAGCCAAGGGCATTGAGTCGTTTTACTGCATCATAACATAGCAAACATTTACTTAGCTTTGCAAGTACAAAAAGAATCACAATATAAAAATACAAGTTTATACCTAAAAGTGAATATCAGAAAACTAATATTTTAAATAATATTTAGATGCTTAAAAGCTTGGGAAAATGAATTTTTTGAATAGGCCTGAAATGCCAGTAAGTCTCTCTACAGGGCCAAAAACAACTTGTACTATTGAAAAGCTCACTCTAGTAGCCATTTTTAAAAACTTGATAGATGAACTGAGATTTCAGATGATTTCAGTAGCCAACCAGAGAAACATATAGTGACCATTAACCTGATATCCAGGAAATTTAAGATTCTAAAGGTTAATATTAGGACTTTGAATTGGGCAGGATGTTTTGGCCAGTAACTAATGATAGCCTTAACTTCTTCTGAGATTGTTCAGGATGCAGAACAATAAATTGCACATATACTGTACTAGAAATGAGTTAGAGTTAGCTTAATAACTCGTTGGAACCTGTTATTTTATACAGCTTTGATTTCAGATATTTAATTCTACTTAAGTCTTTTATCCCTTTTTCATTGGGATTGCTTCCTGTAATGACAACTCACATGCAAAGTATTTTTTATGCATAGCTGTCATGTATGGTCATTGTACATACAGTAAAATCAACAGCATAATTCAGGTACTTCAGCTTCTGTATGTGCATACCATATGCAT